ACGTGATCACAAAAGGGATTGATAACTATTGAGCCTATGATAGCCTATGTGCGTCGGTGGCACAGTGGTTAGGACTCTCGCCGACCATTCAAATGGTCCGGGATTCCATCCTCTGCCGACGAGCACCTGATATCTATGGTCGGCCTGCGAAATTTGGGCTACCGATATCCATCCTGAAAACTCCATAAATGTACCAGAAAATCCCGTGTGGAATCAATATAACCATTCACTGGCTGTAGTTATTCTTGTTCTGAATATATTATATGGATATGTCAATTACTGAAACTAATATCCGTGCATACTTTATTATTATTACTAGAAGTCTGCTTATTTCCTCATCGTCTGCATAATTCTTTTTATTGAAATCTTCTAACTTGAACTGATCTACTCGTTACACTTCTGTGTAATGATCTCAGTTGTATTTTGTCTAAATTTGTTTGTTTAACTGCCTGTTTTACTACTGTCTCTACTTTTATTTCATTTTTATTTTTGATTACAGCTTGATTCCACACCGTATTTTTGGTACAAGTATGGAATTTTCAGCGTGGATATCGGTAGCCCAAATTTCGCAGGCCGACCATAGATATCAGGTGTGCGTCGGCGTGGGCTCGAACCCCGGACCATATGCATGGTCGGTGAGAGTCCTAACCACTGTGCCACCGACGCACAGTACTTCTGTTGCTACACACAAAATTCTTAGATTGTGTGTTTGTATTGTAATGTGAAAAGTTTGTATCAGTTTTTCCTTAATCCCTTTTTTCACGATAAATGCTGATATTACTTATCATAGAACAATGTAACTAAATGACAGTGATAAACACTTTATTCTTTCACCCATCAATCATTGTATATTAGAAAGAAAATAATTCTAATAATAGTGTTTTAACATATGTAACAATGTAAGAGGTATATATTCAGCTGTTTGGTTGAAAATCTGGGCTAAAACACCTCACGTGGATCCTATCAATCACATTTTTTTCTCTAAATAACCATTGAAAGTTGAAATGATCATTTGTTTGAACACATAGGCAGATACACACGCTAATAACACTCACAGACTTCAGGCAAACAGACTCAAATCCTACTAGTTTATTCCTATTCATCATTAAGTAAGGAATTTTTCATTTAATTCGAGTAATAAAAAGACTATTTAGTCGTTAATATACTAATGTAAGGACTAGAGCATGTTTAGAGACTACGCAGGTATTCTGGAAGGAGTACTTTGACAGCTAACAGCTTGATGATTCATTTGAAATTAGTACCGACTAGGAATAGATGATTTCAAGCTTCTTACAATATCGAACTAGATGATTATCTCAATAGAATGGTAAAACACAATTATCATTCTCCCTTCATCCTCATGCGATTCTACAAATACCTGTAATATACAGTTCAGACCGCTTTACTTCCTATAATGAAGCACTGAAATAACCTGCTAAGCTGACTTCATTTAAGCGATTTATTTTGATGTCAGACAGGTAAGGTTTTTGTGGAACTCATCTTCCGCTTCATCCAAAGTGCAATCAGTTTGTTAATAGGTGGAGATCGATAGCTCAGTCTTCTCTTATTTTTACAGACTGATTTAATCAAAGAGAGCAGTCAGTCAGATACATAGTTCGTTTTAGTCCGGTCCGGTACCATACCTACACAAATAAGTCCACCAGAGACTAGCCAAGGAATCGTCTAACTAAATTAAGTGATTTTTTTAGGCTTTGATGACCATGTTCTTAGTCTATTCAAGTAGTTTAAAATAAGTTCCTCCAAATGCTAGTTAATTTACAATCCTATGTGTTTGAATACCTTACCAATATACTATCAGCAGCACAGAAATGTTAAATCAGACGAGTAGACTGCATAATATTAATCGTTTAGAGATTGATATGGTGACTAGCCTAATTTAAAGAGTACAGCCGTCTTCTAAAAATGATTTTAAGTTTGGTGATTGAAAGCTCAACATCAAATGCTGAAGATTAGAAAACTAATCAAACCAATTTCATTCTTCATCTTGAGCTACTAATGTTCTCTACTATTTTCATTCCAATTGTGCTTTTACACTGCTGTATATTTTGGCGATAAATTCAGCTGAAAATGAGTTAAATGTACCTCAGACGTTTGAACCCTTCTAGTTGTAGAACGCTGCTATAGTTTTCCGTCAGAAGCTAGCCTTAATGTGCATATATGACTGTAAATCACTCTCCCTTGCCTTCTTATATATTGTTAGGTGATTTAATCCCAGTATTTTGGTAAACAAGCAATGCTTTTCTGTAGGCTATTTGACATCGAAGGCTGCTTTTAGTGATATTGTGCTGTGACGCTTTCTGTGAAGCGCCAAGTCTCCCAACTGTATAGAAGCACTGACATGACATTAATACTGAAAATCTTGATCTTGTTCTTCATTCTGAGTACAACCGATTTTCGTACTGATTTCAAAGTAATGGATATCTGTCTCGCCTTACCTATCCTGCCCTTGACATCTTCAAGTGTGCTATCTGTAATTGAAACGATACTGATGAAGTAAATGAGAGAGGTGAATTCTTTCAGCTTTAATCCACTGATGACAACCAGTGTTTGTAGTTTTTGGTTGGGTGTCTTCATTATTTCTATATTCTCTATGTTAACTTGAATTTCTGTCTTGACTGCCTGCCCCCTCTAACAGTTTATTGATTTTTGCTTGTACGTCTTTGAGTATACGTGAGGTCAGACATTAATAGTTGGCGAAATCTAGATTATCAAGACACTTCTTACTCGTCCGGCAAATTTCTGTCTTCTGGCTCCCCACAGTATGCCATATGATCAAGTCCACAACAGATAGTAATATCGTAGGTGATACTTGGCAGTCTTGTCTCACTCGTGTCTCCGCTTGAAAGGCTTCAACGAATATCCTGTTGTGAATCATCTGACATGTCGCATTATCACAAAGCTGTTGAATGAGGCTGACAAAATTTTGGGGCACTGAACTCCATAATGGTCAAATAACTTTCAAATTACCTAACTACCAATCAGAGACAGAGATTTGACTACCATTATATGCTCTGTTTGATGATGATACATAGCAGTGAATTTAGACCAGTATATTATTTTCTTTTCCTGAATTCAGCTTCTTTTTGGCTGGGTTTTATATCTAGAGCATCTCCTAGTCTCTCTTGACTGATGTCATAGACATTTTGTCAGGGAAGGATAAGATCACGATTTCCCGCAAACTCTTGCAAAAGATTAGATCTCCCTTCTTTGGTAGGTTGACAAGGTAGCCTTTCGTTCACTCAGTAGGTACCTTTACTTCCCACCAAACTCCTTGTAGTAGTGGTATGAGCATTTCCGCTGAAGTTTCTAGATCCGATTTCAGGGCTTTGGAGGATCTCCGTATGGTCCTGTTACCTTTCCGGCTGATTTTCTGCTGCTTTACAGTACTCAAGACTTCTGCTTTTGCTGGAGGATCGATGTTCAATAATAGCTCTGTGGCTGTCGGTGGTGTCTCTGGATGATTTGTACGTGGCAGTTGATTCAAGAGCTCTTTGAAATGATCGGCTAAATGGTTACTTTATTTCATCTTTTCGGCATCTGTCTTTCCCTTACAATCCCTCATTGGTTTCATTTCAGATAAGGAATTGGTTCTCTCACATATTATTCTACGGTCTTTCTTACCTGTGGCCTATTTTGCTCCAGTTTCCAGCATGTTACATAATTTTCCTTTTTCTTTCCTCGTACTCTTCCTTACTTCTTTATCCAGTGCTCCACAAACTGAACTAAGTTTCACCTTTCGTCAATGTTCTCTGCAATGAATCATCGGTTTCACTATCCCTTTCTCCATTATCAGTTTTTTGTGTCCATAAAGATCCATTTCTCGTCTTGCATCTCCTTCCTTCGAAAGATGGCTATACATATTTCCTTCAGCATCATTTTCTTCAGTAATACCCCAGTAAAGATGTCGTTTATAGTTTCACACTTCAGTTTTTGGGTATTGGACCTGAATTGTAGTGTTTGACGTAATATGCATTAATCTAATTATTGAAATCCTCATAATTCCAACAAACAAGTATATCGTAAATTGACTTATCAACATAGAACTGTCCACTGAAGTCCAGCATTGAATGTTGTCACAATTTCAAGAAGCACATACAAACCTGAGAAAAGAAATAAAATGAAATTACACTAACCAAAAGTATTCAGAAGAAAGAATATTAGGTGGGGTCAAATAAGAATTTTCCAAATTTTTATGATGACAGGAATGAGTACATCTGCAACATTATGAATGGCTTTCAATCATGTTTCCGAATGCTGGTGCTTGACATCGCATTGTTCTTTACCACTGTTACAAGGACTTGTAGTCATTTTTACGTTTAACTGGCTTTCTTTTTCGTGATGTTAAAAGCTTACAAATATCACATATACCACTTATTTTTTTTGGATGAACCGGCAGAAATCCACTATCATTTGCTAATCTTTGTTTTTAGGTTATCAGTGTTCTTCATAACTGTTTCTATAGCTAATTCAGTATTACATCATGCTTTCAGGGAGTTGGTTAATTATCTGCATTCCAAAGTACGGGCTTCATTTTCTCACTGAGAAGCTGCTAACGCAAGTACTTCGTAGGTGTTTGTTTTCCACTTCTGTTTATTTGTTGGTGTACAGATGTATGAAAATTTCATTGTAGTTTAACCCAAAAAATTTTTGGTGGTTCTTATAACAGATAAGAACGTTATAAAACGTTAATCAGCATGGACAACCATTCATTACGTTTCAAGTACAGAGGTGTTAGTTAGCATAAGATTAAGTTGATGAAGGATTCAGGTTAGTTAAATCAAAAAGTGGTACCAATCCATGAAGTATATGACTACTGGTATAAGCCATACAGAGAGGTAAAGACTGCCTGGCTGAACTCAAGTAAATGTTAATTTTACTCACTTATTTTTCATGAGTAAGAACTCTTTTGTTTCAGTGTTACTTTTTTATCCATGAAATATTTATGTCAATATTTTTTCTCTATGTGGTGATAATAAAAGACACCGGTAAAAATGTCAACAGATGGTTGTGTAAGATATGGTGAAAATTATGGCTTAATATTTTCACCATCAGATCAAAATATTGTTCAACTTGGTTGGGAGAATGAAAGACCACAGACAATGTTGGCTGCAGGTTGTCAAAGTTGTTTGAATACAGTTGAGTTGAATATAAAGGATGGTAATGAAGTAGTTGCTACGGTATGCATTCAACCGGTAGCACGTTCAGTTTTTCAAATAATAAGGTAAGATGTATAAAGAATTGTGAGTATTACTTAACTTTCTAATATCTATTAAGATTTGAATAAAATAACTCTATAAAGGGTATGAGGCTGAGCTGATGAACTGTACTTTATTGATGACTTATGGATGACACACTGAAACAGTTGTCTTTATGAATACAATGTACTGTGTCAAAAACCTACTTGTGCATCTGACCAAAACCATGGGTCGTTTAGTGTTTCTGTGGAGTGAGAACTAGATGGTTTAGTTCCGAAGATTTCACAGTGTTAAATTTTTTATGAAGCGAGATTCCAAAATTAAATATATCCGTTCATCCTGGTGACTTTAACAGTGATTAGTTATCTCTGAAGATTTTCTTCAGTTTGCATTTAACTGTATGTTATATCGGTCACCTTAATGACACCGTATTTGACTTTTTGATGATGGTACGGCTTATCCTTGCTGGATTGGTCAATTTAGCCTATATCGATATATATCTGGATATCAGACTTCTAGGGATTGTCTCTCATTCTTCGTTTTGTCGAAAGGTACAACAAAAGATTCGCGATTGAACCATCCAGTTCTGATAACATGGCAACATGTAATAAGCCTTCTGCATCACGTCGAAAATGTCTGGACCATTTGAAATAGGATTTACAAACCATTAGTTTTCTCTATTTGTTCAATCTCTCTAAGAATGCCTAACAATTCAGAATATAGATTACAGAAACATTGAAAGACTTCATGAGTCGATGGAATGTTATTTGCTGAAGACTTCTGAAATAACTACAAGACAACTTTGACAGAACAATAAAGGTACGTGTATTTCCACAACACATTCCAAAACACGCATACTTATCATAAGAATTTGCATGAAAATAATAAAACCCTAAGGTGTAATAGAATAGATATGGGTCAAACTAAAAAGTTATCTTAAGGGTCAGTACATCAAGAAAAGAGATAGCTGTACATCTACCCTGGTGTCAAAATAAAATATACCCAAATTCGGCTTGATATAAAGAAAAATCATTTCAGGATAAACAAAGTGGAAACATCATTTTTATACTCTGTATCTATATTATATCTCTGAATATAAGAGCCAAGTTATCCGCTTTTACCATTGGTGAACTCAGGAGATTCACCTGGCTTCTGAAGCCATTTATCGATGTCTTGAAGCCTTTCCTTAATAAAATCACCAAATGGTAGAAGTTAGAGTCCATGTGATTCTGAGTTTAATCCCAATACCTGAATGGTCTACGAGCTTGCCCCATAACCGTAAGGTCTTGGATTCGAACTCAAGTAGGAGTGCAATGATGATGGTACCCAACTGGGACAAAACAGCCATCGAGTACTCCTGGTTTCTATTGCTTCGCTAATTCATATCACTCCATGGTCAAACTGGAAACAAATAAAATCCCCACAAATAATATTAAATACAAGGCAATTATTGTAAATAAATTTGCTCCTTATTATGGGACCTTGATTGAAGAAATTTAATGAGAAATTACTGACAGTATCTAACAGAAACTAAAAAATACCTGTCGAATATTTTTGTTATTCAGAGAAAATAATTTCAGATATACTTTTCAACTTATCCATGATATTATTTGATTGGTGGTGACTGGCACTGAATGAAATTGTCCTTCCATTCAGGGCTAAACAGTTGATGTACCTGCATTCCCAATAACTGATAGTGAGCTCACTAAGAGACCGTCACTCATTGTTTAATACCTTTCAATTCATGAATAGTCCCCGACCGGACATTAGGGGGAACAAAACACACAGACAAACCAAAAAGGCTCTTTTCTGCGAATTCAATCTCTTCTTTATCTATACAATTGCACTTATATAAATTTTTTCATGAAGGAAGGAAGTAACAAAGATGATGAGTTGTCAGAAACATAGCTGTCAAAATTAGTCAATTCAAAAATGGAGTTCAATAAGTGTATGAGGGTTACGTAATAAGATGAATAATCCACCTATTCCTGTAGAGCCAGGTATATTGGTCTTTCGTGCCGAGTATCGTGTCGAAAAGCGTTCAAGAACACTAAACCGCATAGTTGCAGGAAAGTAGTAGAGGCTCTTTAAAGAGTGTGATAATCGAACACCTTGTGAAAACCAATCACTGCATCTCAGTAAACACCTCCTTCAAAGTGATCTACAAAGTGTACTACTAAAGAAGAGAATGGATTCACCGAAAAGAGCCTTTTTGTGGAATTACATGTTTCGCTTTCATCATTTCATACTTTACGGTGTTATCCACCATGCGACAGCGGCACAAAAGCCATCACTTGTGCAGTAGGTACTTACATATAATTCCATAACATATTATTCATACTACTTTATTTTACATGTTCAACAATTAATTTTATGGTGCAATTCATATTCTACTTTAATGTAGCCCTAAATGTGGAATGACAGATTGTGTTGTTAAATATGGGGATACTGTACAGTTTAGTTTAGCGAATAAAAATATTAGTGAAGAACGCCTGTATCTGGCTAGTGATATAGTCTCACCATTGTCTGCAAGTAGCATGTCTGGACATCAAAAATTATATTTAACTACAAATTGTTGTAGTTTTTTAACACATTGGAAAATTGTCTGTAAAGAACCGTCAATGCGATTAGAGACAGAAGGTTGTCCAGTTAAAGTAAGCAGCTTTTGATGGTTTATCGTTTTTTTCTACATTCCCTCACTTTTTATAATTCACATAAATGTTCCATTTTTAATGTGAGTGTAGAATTTAGGCACTGTGGTAGAATGTAACTGGGTATTACATAAGTTTGTTTGAAATTGCAGACAGTGGCACAGTGTAAGTAACTAAATCACGTTTCCAGCAAAATTTATTGCTCATGATCATACCCACGCATTTACGCACCCCGTTGGTATTCATGCCAATTTTTTATAAATTTCCGGCACAGGCGTTGTGTCATTTCGATTGCACATGTTTGGTGTTGATTCGAGGATTAACCTAACTTTTTTTAATACTTTCACACTGCGCCACCCTCTATAGTGTAATTACATGGAAGTGAAAGCATTTCATTGGCTGAGGTATTTTCTAGATTATTTAACTTAGTAGAGTCAGTCGTGCTAGCCCTACTTAAATTTAAATGTTCCGATAATCTAACTGACCCCAATCTAGTGGCTTTTTCTACGTTATATAATTGATCTGAAAGTGAGCACATGATATTTGGTAAATTATTATCTTAACTTAATCTCCTGAATCCTTTAGCTGACAAAGGTTGCCTCTGGGCGAGTTTGTGGTTTAAATGTTACCCTTACGCCCGCCTTAACAATAATCCTACATAGAACATCTGACGTTTCTTCTGTATATTGCAGAACTGTTGAGACTTTTCCCCATTATTTACATTTCCGTATTATCTGGTTATAGATACTTTAACGCTATATGTTGTATAAAGTAAACTTACCTAATATGGGGGGTGTTTTTTCTTCCTTGTGGCTTCTTCAGGAGTATACAATAGTGATTACACTGTGAGATCATAAGTTTCTGTTTTCTTCATGCATAGCGAGTACTGAAATGACGGATACTTGTAGTTTAGGCGGATGCTTTGGGTGGTATAACTACAAAGCTTCTGGTAAACATCTTCAGCGGTTATTTCAGTGTGAAATTAGTTTTCTTGTAGTTCATCGTGAATGACTTTGAATGACATCGCGATAACGCTGGTTGTAACTGACTGTGTTCTAATGTTTTATTACCCATGTGTTAATCTGTGTTGGTATCTATAGTCTCACTGACTAGAAGTTTGACTATCACCCTTACCACGTGGCTTGTCGTCTGTTGGTTGAAAAGTTTGATATATGCACAGATATCCATTCAGTGAAGATTACTGTGACCACCAGCCTCCTATGAATTCTCTGGCGTTTTTAGTATTTCCGCAGCTCAATTGTGTCAGAGATGTTTTATGCCTGGTTGTAGGTGACAGAATCAGTAGAACTTTATCTCTACAAAATGCCTTGCTTCCGACCAAAGGAGATTGTTTCACATTTTAGCAGCCAAAATACTCATTATAGACATTATCATGTATCATACAAAAGACGAAAGGAGAAATTGAAATGAGTCGGAATACGGTAGATAACTTTGAAATTCTTGTTAACATCAATTCACCTCAATTTCTTCATATGAGTTCACCTTTTAAATATATCTGAAATCGTAGAAGTCCACCTTAAGAAGTTTAACTTATGTATTCACTGTGGAACAAATTCGTTCAGAAGCTTTCCTATCCTATTTTTTATTGATTTAATTGTCTTTATTTGTCAAATTTATCGTATATAGTTCACACTAACCCTCCGATTGTGGAAGAGAGCAGTCTAATTTCTCAAAAATAAGAAGATTGTACCAAACAAGAGGACTCTAATGGTGATAAATCATGAATAAATAGTGATAAGATAATAACTGTTAAAGTTACAAATGATCGAAAACGTCATCATGTTTATTTGATGATGATTAATAAGGGTATTCATGATGCGCTTTTTATCCCATTGACACTTCTCATCTAGACTTCCCTACATTCTCAACAATTGATCGTGCTCCCACTGAAACTCGAACACAGGACTCATCGTTTCAAATGTCAAAGTCTTATTCACAAACGATATCTTTGTTCTGTATCCCATGAACACATGTTATGCCAAAAACGTTTCGTTCTCATTTTTTTAAGTTTTTTAATGTAGCACTAAACCTCATTTATGAGGATTCCAATAAACCTTAGTAATATTTAAATAACTATTCATTTAGCTACCAATAATTGTTAAAATATGCAATATAAATTATAGTAGGGATTGATGGACTCTTCTGGTTGATTTCTCAAAAACATGAGTAAAGAACTAAAGTCAGCTCATGATGAAATCCTCCGTGTAATCAAACAAAATCCCTAAAAAACCAATACTTGAAAATTAATCTGATGCTCACTAGTGACTGGCCCTTTTCAGGCAGTTAACCTGGGTTCTAGTGGAAGCCGTGACCAGTAAGGTGCAGCAGTTTGAAGATGAGCCAGTAACTCATCGTAGAAGACATTGCGAACTGGTCGCGCTATGTCATGAAACGGTAGAAGTTAGAATTCATGGGTTGGGCATTGTATTGACGCGTCCCAGTGGGTGAATGGTCTACGAGCTGGCTCGCCTTGTAACCAAAAGGTCGTGGGTTCGAACCCTGCTGGAGGGTGCGCACTGATGAAGAGTCCCAAACTAGGACGAAACAGCTGCTCAGTACTCCCAGGTTTTCCAGTGGTTTTCTAACTGATTTCAGCTCATGATGAAATCCTCCATGCAATCAAACAAAATCCTTACAAAACATTTTTTCTGTTAAACATAGTTACACTGGAGTTAATTTGAACTCAAGATGCCCAATTGTACTTAAATTGTAGGATGATCTATGAAAGCTTGAAAAAATCTGAGAATGTTTGACATAAGCTCTGTGTATGTCATGTGTAAGATGGTGCTGCAGGATTGATCTACACTGACATTTAGTTTAAGAATAAACAGTAAAATCATTTTGCTATTTTGATTATTTGATCTGTCTGGTTAGCTTCACCATCCATGACAGACTATTTACTATGAAGTATAAATATTCTTGTTCGAGACTCACCAACCTGTGGGTATTATGTATGACTGTACATCAAAAAATGTGTATGTTGCCTAACAGTTCATTCTTCATTTTAGTTTACAGCTTTGTGACATGACTAACGAAAGTAGGAGACAAAGGAAGATAGGGGGCTTTCGTTCACAAGAAGCTTTCTGCAAATTCTCATGTCAGGTGAAGCATTATGGTAAGAGGAAATCAGGTTATAGTTAGGCATAGAGAGTTACATATGAAATAGAATTTAGTCGTTGAAATGACTATGTTTCATTGATTTATATGGCGGATATATATGCCTAGAAATAGTAAATGACACTGTATCAGGTTTGAAATAAGATAGGCTTGATCAGACTGAAGGACAACACTGATACATGAAATCACTGATCAGTGATCTGAGCCATGTAAGGATAAGCATGCATCCTAGCTACTGTGCTGGAAATGTTAGAAAGTCAATGTCTGAAGACTTTTCATAGTGGTAGTTCAAAATAGATTGAAGTAGTGAAGATAGGCTTACTTCTTATCTCCTAGATTCTGAAAACCTGTACAAAATATTTTAATCAAAGGAAAATAAGATTGGTTATACTTATAAAACGACAATAAAGTTAAACAAGTGATGAGTCAAACAAATAATTAAACATGCATCCTGGATTCCACCGTGATTCTCCATTAAACAAACAAATAACACCAACTTAACCCTGGTTGAAGTATCCACATTAGGAGCCACTGTGCTAACAAAGACTAAACATCTTGCTGTAGTAAAATGAATCACCGACCACGCATGTACTCCGGGGTTCGATCCCCGGCCACTGACGCACTCTCAAACCTCACTAAACCAGTAATAAGACCGATAAAGAGGGAAGGTTGGGCGTAGGGCTAGCAACCCCATCCCATAAAAATAAACACAAATGCTACAGAAACTTCAAGCCTGTAGTTTGAAACCCATGTTCTACTAAGAACGTGAAGGAATCAAAAAAGTTAATCACTAGGGAACGTTGAATACTTTCAGTAAATAACATGACGTGAGTCTAGTGGCTCAGCCAATAACTTTTTGCTGTTTGAGATGTTAGATGATGGGGTTTCAATGTCAATGAAAACACCATTAGTCACTGAGATAAAGATGCATTCAACTAACCAGTCCCAAATAAAACAAAACGAGCATTTCAGATCCCATTGCTAGCCACTATAACTTGAATTCAAGCTGAGATATTAAAAGTTAACCTTCATAGCAGTTGCCAGTGGTTTTTATCCATTTAGATAACAGTCCTCTATAAGTTTTTACGGGGCTACAGGAGTTTGACGAAAGAATGATGATAAATGTAACACATTTCTTCTATGCTTTGTTTACAAATGGACTTCTTCATAAAATCTTTCCACGAAAGAATCCAAAGGTGACTTTAGGCTTAATAAAAGTATGAAGAGTTTCGAATATTAGCAAACATTTGCCCAGATAGCTTTTTAAGTCCAATTTGTACACTCTCATATCGTATGTGTACATAATAATCTTATATTTTTTTTCCGTTAACCAGTGTTATTTTGTTCTTTATGTTAGTTTTAAGTTGGCCCGAGTTACTTAAGTAATGATCACTACATATTATACAAATTTTATACAACTTATAAATGCATGATCACTTCGCTCGCTAATTTCTAACTACACTTTAACATTTCTCATCGTATTCATTTTTACTAATCTTATTTAAAACTCGTCAATATTGATTTAAATTTGCCTTCTCTGGTTTTCATGATTTAAATTTATTCAGATAAAATGCTAATTAGAATAAATTTAAACAAAACTTAAGATCATCCAGTTCTTAGTAATGTGAAATTCATGTTGTCGTCACTAAAATCAGTCTCATAAAGTAAAAGTCGTTTGTATGTGACTGATTGTGGTTGAAACAAAAATCTGAAGACATTGGCTGCTAAGATTTTACGTCTTTTATATTTGACAGTCGGAGGCAACCGGTTGGAGGCTCTACAAGACTTAGCTTTCTTGAATTGTGGCACTATCCAGAAAAGCCTATCTGCAATCTGCAAGGGACTAACGTCCTTCTTGTAGATTT